TCCTCCAAGAATACCTTCTGGCCCACATGTTTCAAAAGGTCACCCTTTTGAAGATGACAGTGAAGCTTTTATGGCTCTGCCGGAAGGAACACGTATGTCTCAGGAAGCTTTGCTGCGTGGGCCAAAGTTCTTGACGAGGTTGGGGGGGAGAGGCCATTTCTGGCCCTGTGGAGCCCATGCTGCAAATGATACTCCCCACTAACCGCCCACTGGAGATTCTCTGATATACTGCATTTTTTTTCTTCAAGTGCTTAGGGGGAGACCTAAACATTTTATGCTAAAAGTGAAAAATAGTTTTTTCTATTCAAGGGAGTCCTAGAATTTCAGGGCCCAGAGAGAAGAGGTCTTGGCACGGCAAATAGTGAAAACACCTTCTGCTTGGGAAGTGAGCTTGAATAAACATAAACCTACTGCTACCTAGAAGCTTCCTTCTTGTCTGCCCAACTCAATGCAGTCTGAAATATCTGGAAATTGGGAATGCTTTTTAGCCTGGAGTTGTTCAAATGGAGGCTTTTGAAGAACAAAAATGATCCCGGCTTTTTATTATTATGTGACAGAAGGGTAACGTAGATATAGAGCTGAGGGAACTGGAGAGACCTCCCACTTCCTCCCTTCCTCCTTTTTTTCTAACACTCTCACTTTACAGGGAGGAAACTCAGGCTAAGAAAAATGAAGTTATTTTGCCCAAAGGTAAGGAAGAGGCTGAAGGAATAATGCAGATTAAAAGGAGAAGAGCAAAAATTCAAACCTGGGTCCTCTGATTCCAAATCCAGCATTCTTTTCCACTGCCTCCTTTGTATTTGAAGATTATATTATTGAAGATATGTGAGGCTTTTTTTCCCCCTTTCTTTTTATTCCCAGTGCTTGGCACACTGTAAGAGCTTAATAAATGCTCATTGACTGACTGTGGATGGAAAAATGGTGGCCAAGTAGCCATGATACCTCTTCATGACTGACACTAATAATGTGTCTTCAAATGCAGGGCAAAAATGAACTATTACCTTCAGAATAAAATGTTGTGAGCATAGATTTGACATCTTGTATTCCCATTTTGTTGAAGCTAAAGAAGAGTTGAGTTGATTTGCACAAAGCTGTCTTCAGACATCTGGGTTTTAGGGTCCTGAGTCATTTTCTAAATTCATGCCTTGAGAAGAAATGGCCAGACTAACTGGACATTGGCCACTCACCATCCTAATGTAAAGCTCAATGTGGTTTTTCACTTATGCAATGTTTACCAAAGACTAGTTATATGAAAGGCATTATGTAACTGCTGGAACCACCAAGACAAAATAGGAAACTGAGGCAAGCAAGGTTAAGTGACTTGCTCGAGTTCACACAGCTAGTGAATATCCGAGTCAAGAAGAATTGGCCATGACTGAAACGACTGAACACAACCGCCTGAATCCTGGGCCAGCTCTCTAACCAGCGCAAGGGCCTGCTAAAAGAAACCCACTCTTCTCACAAAGGAGGAAATTGGAGGTAACTTTCTGAAGATTACATAGGAAAGCAGTGCGGGAGGCAGGATTAGAACCCAGCTCCTCTGGTGCCAAAGACAGTATTCTTTTTACTTTACCCACACTACTTATACTGTTTGTTATATGATTAAATACAATAATCGAGCCTCAGCTAAACCTTGAGATTTTGTCCTAAGCCTGGAAGGAAGACAGAGATGTATAGAAGAAGAGTGGAAGAAGGAAGGAGCCAGGGGGACAGCTTATACAAGATGTCAGGCTGGGGACAGCTAGGATTCCCATGTGACTGGGATGGAGAGTGTGTGGGGTGAATCATGTACAACAGGCAGGGAACTGGTAGATTAGAGTCACACTGTGAAAGACCTTACATTCCAGGCTGAAAATTTTGCGTTTTATCCTAGAGGCAATCAGGAATCAATGAAAGCTTTGCAAAGCAAAGTGATACAGTCAGATGGGGTCTGGGGAAGATAATTCGGTCAACTCTGCAGAACTGATCAGAGAAATGAAAGAGTGGAAGCCAGGAGACCAATGCAGAGATTATTGCAAAAGTCCAATGACTTCAGTCATATCCCCTTAGCCAAGTAGTTCAAAAGGCTGCTGATGCTTAATGGGTCGCCTCTGGAGAACAATCATGACACACAGCAAGTATAAATCAGCGTATCAGCACCAATCTCAGACTCCCTGGGTCTACTCAACCAGCTTTGCCTTCCATTTTGGGAAGGGCAAAATGGGATGGAGGCCTGAACTTGGGTGGCAGCCACAGCAGTGGAGAGGAGGGGCCAGATGTGAGAGAAATGGAGAGAACTGTGATACCGTCCCTGTCCAAAAGGAAGGCACAATAAGGCTGGGAGATGACATGTAGACATGCATGTCTAATGGCAGGCAGTATGTGATCAAGAATGCCACCAGGCCCAATTATCTCTGTTGATTCACATAAAGAAAAGGGCTCTTTGATATGCAGCAAAGCCACCAGGAGTGGCTCAGATTCCCTTCTCCCAGACAAGGTTACTGTAAAGAGCTTCTGTTTGGCAGGAGAGGTGGGGGAGAATCATCAGAACACCATGGCTCTTTAGCGTTAGAGAAACTCAACCCAGCAGAGCTCACAATAAACAAGGCAGTTGAGGAGGAGTGAGCAGAGGAAGCACAAAAGGTCAGAGAGCTGAAAACAGACACACACAGAGACCCAGATCTTCATAAACAAGAGGCTTATTTTTTCAGGCTGTTTGGAAAAAAAAAAAGCAGGGTGGGGAGAAGGAGGTATTGGAAGGAATAGTTTTGCAATAAAGAGATACTTGGTGGATCCAAAACTTAGTCATGTGGCCAGGGTTCTAAGTAGAGTAAAGGAAAAAAAAAAGAGAGTGATTGAAATCTCTGGAAAGCCCTACACCCTAAAGCAGTACCTCCAGGAACTGCATACAATCTAATGACATTTGCCTCTTAACCTGGGAAGGGCTCAACCACGCTGACCATCCATCACAGGAAAACAGAAAAAAAAAGTCATCCACCTCATAAAAACATCTTCCTATTAATGGGGTGTATCTCTCATGATTATTCCCTTCCCTGGCTTCCCTTCTTCAGTATAATCTCCTGGTGCAGGCATTAAGGCCAAAAGGCCCTGACTGATTGAACTCACAGAAGTTTACTTTAGAAAATGGCAAATGTTAATTTCTAAAAAAACCTGGCTCCCTCCTGAACAAAGACTGAATCCCTTCAGTGGTGTTTTCTCTTTTATGTGGTGGGCACTTTATAAATGTTTGTTGTATTGGATTTACTTAGAGAGCAATTTCTGTCTATTGAATCATATTTGGTGGGGGGGCTAGGCAATGGGGTTAAATGACTTGCCCAGGGTCACACAGCTAGTACATGTTATATGTCTGAGGCCAGATTTGAACTCAGGTCCTCTTGAATCCAGGGCCGGTGCTCTATCCATTGTGTCACCTACCTGCCCCTGAATCACATTTTTAAATTAAAATTCTGTTGGAAAATTTGAAGATGATAAAATATTTTGCCCCTCAGATGTAATATAAATTGTATTACAAGTGCAGCAAATATTTTAATTATTGAATTGAAGAGGAAGCTATAATTTCCTGGTGAAATAGTAATAAAAAATACCCAATATAAGTCACGAAGTATAAATGCTAAACTAAAACTTGGAAGTTTTGCCACAAATATTTTCCCTTGAGGAGGGGTTGTTGATGAGGGTTAGATGAACTTCTTTTTAAAATTCGAATAATTATTTCAATGTAATTGAATTCCTTTGCAATCCTTTGAATTTTATTTTGTTCATTTAAAAAAGAATGTTCTGAAAAGGTGTCCAAAGGCTTTGCCAGACTGTTTAAAATTTCCATGATCCCAAAAAGGTTAGGAACCCCTATACTGAGTATAAATCCATCAAATGGATGTGTATCCTGGTGCTGTTCAACCCTTTAAATTCTGTCTCACCTGACCTGTCCCTCCTATTGTGTGCAGAGCATTGTGCTGTGAAGGAGGGAAACTTCAGAATTTAGGTAACACATAGTTTGTGCCCTCATGAAACTTATAGTCTAGTAGGGAAAGGTCGTAAGTCAACAAGCACCTGTCTAGTTCCTAATATACACAAGGCACTCAGTTATATCTCTGTCTCTGTCTCTGTCTGTCTCTGTCTCTGTCTCTCTCTCTCTCTCTCTCTCTCTCTCTCTCTCTCTCTCTCTCTTTCTCTCTCTCTCACACCACACACACACACACACACACACACACACAATGCTAAAACAACATTTAACCACCAGTGGGTAATGTTGACCAGTTGCCTGATTCTGTTCAGTAATAAGGGCCACTTCATTCAATCACTCATTGTCAGCGTTTATGTTGCCTACCAAACACCAGAGAGAGTTCTAGTATAACATGGAATTTGACTGGCCCTCAGAAGCACCATATCTCTGTCCCTTGGTTCCATCCCCTTGTGGGTGGCATATGACCTTATTAGTCCAAGAGTTTAATGTGGATTTACCCATTTAGATACTTGGTTCAGCCCTCTATTTCTATTCCAGGAAGATGACTCCTCTAAACTCATCCTTGCTGTATTTCAATTGAAGCTATTCACACACACACAAAAAAACCCCACCGCATACTGTATAGTTTTTTAATCACAATATGAGTGCATAAATCCAAATACACCAAACATCAGAGTAACCACTGCGGTTATTTCCTTTCAGCCCTCAAATCCTTCAAAGACTAGGCATCCCCAAAGCCCTTCAAGCCAAATCCCAAGAGTTAAACACACACACACACACACACACACACCACACACACACACACACGCGCGCGCGCACACACACACATACTTCAGGTGCTCAGATGAAAACTTCCTGCTGCAGAGGGGCAAAGACATTAGACCCCCATGCCTGGGCTAGGACCCTATTAAGGACAAGAGAAGAGGCACTAATGCTGGCTGCTCTTGCTTTGCTTTCATATCCTCAGCTCCCACATTCAAGGAAATCCTTAAGGTATAAAAGCAAAAATTTCCTTATGACCACAAGGGTGAGTTGTGAGGCTCCTATTAAGAATTAAGTGGTAAAATCCCTGCTCTAGAAACTTGTAAGGAGAACAGAGGATATCCTTCGTGAAGGAATGAAGACAGGAGTGGGAATTCCCCACTGACTTACAGGGAGAGATTTTTCTCTTCAACCTCACCCATGAGAAACTGAGGGTTCATCTATACCATGAGGGGGTGCTTTGGGAACCTGCGGTCTTATCTTCCTGTTAGAAGCTATGAATTAAAAACCTTCAGTTAGAAAATAGTGGTTTTAGTCCTTGGTTCCCCTAGAAATTTAGTGTCTAGCGTGGGATGGAGTATATTTCCTCATATGAGGGAGGAGAAAAGCAGTCACGACAGTTGTCTTCTAGCTGTACCTCCTCTAGTTGTTCAGCATCAGTAGTTGACCTAAAAGTGTGAGCAGAAAACAATCAAATTCAGAGCTCATGATACATGGTTACCCTACCGTGTCACCTTCCTCAGATGCACATGAGCCCATAGACTCTGTCCATCCTAGCTGGAGGGGCAGCATTCCCAAGTTCTCATGTTTCTCTGGGCACCAGGCACCATACCTGTTATCATTTCTGTGATCCAAGTCCATATAGGAAGGGTAGAGCTCGTCATCAATAAACGCAGCATTATCATGAGGATAGATGGTACAATACTGAGGGGGACTTGGAGCAGGCACTGTTGGCCCTCCTGGGTTTGCAACACCAAAAGGGTTCACCACTGGGGGCAGATAAGTGGCATTTACCCCGACGGTGTCCTGAGATGCGTAAGAAGGAATATACTGCACCACAGTTGCCCCGTGGAATGTTATAGGTTGGTTGATCCCAGTGAAAACAAAAGACTGTCCACTCAGAGTCTGGTCTGTGTCCAGTGTTCTTTCCTCACTTTCTTTGCAAGACTGACAAGAGAGCATTTTAAACTTGCACACGGCGATCAGGATAAACGTCACCCCAACTGAGAGTAAAATCGGGCCAAGAAGCTGTGTCCACTCAAAGTGAGAGACGCCCTGGTACTTGATCCAGCCCATCACTGTGAATGTGATCCCCACCAGTCCCAGAAAGATACCTGAGAACAGCAACGTGGCTCCTGCCTTATCATCATCAGACACTTGGATGTCAGCTGTGCTGGGTGTATAAGGAGTGACTGAGAATACATTGAGAGGGAAGTCTTCCACGCAGTTGCTGTTCTGCTGCATTATTCAGGAGAGAATCCTTTCCTGATCAGGAAAAAATGGAACTCGCAAGAGATCCTCAGTGGCATAAAAACAAGTCACAGATTCAGATTAGTTATGTAGAACTTTGTGCTCCCGTGGTTAACAGAGTAGAACACACAACCGGGTCGACTTTGTTTGGAAGAATAAAGGTCTGAGAAGTGAAGCCTGAAACTTTACCTTGCCTCATGATTTTTTCTTGCACCACCATTGGCTTATAAATTTTGTGTGATTATTTTGTGACAATTTCCCCATTATTTTGTTCCATTAGAGTACATATAAGAATGAGTCGATGCTATTGAGCCTCTACCGGTATCTTTGAGGCCCCTCGGTGTTAACTATATATCTAGCCAGCAGAACAGATACTTACTACAAGGTCAAAGATTAGAATACATAGAAACATTTTTTGTGTGAATTTTTTTTTTAATTCTTCAGCAATCCTCAGTAATAACAATACTTAGGTATTCAGGTTTTAATTACAGGAATCACATGACTCTGTGATTTTTATATTTTCTGAAAAGGACCATTAGTATTTGGGGAGTATAACAAGTGAGTGAAAAGAGTAGAAGTAATAGAAAACCTTTAAGGAATATTTTATATTTTGCTGGAGCTAAAGAAGTCCTAGGTAGAATATGATGTCAGAGGTGGCATCTAACAGCATCATGAAAAAATGTCACTTCTTCTTTGGCAAAAGTATTGGTCTCCAAGGATAAAAGTAAACAGATACACTACCATTCTCTGCTTTGCAGACAGACCAAATTTGCAAAAGAGGCTTGGTCTTCATGGTACTTTTATAAGTATTCTCCAAATTAGGGAAGCCAATCTCCTACTTTTTTGCTTTCCAAGACAAGCTTTTGAGCTCTAAGTATGTCATGGGCCTCCTTAGGTCGTCTCATAGTTCTGGGACCCCTTACAACTTTCCAGGTTCAGAGAACTGCTTTGGGTGAACTACAGCCCCAAGCCCTCACTAGTAACTGTGGAAGACCATGGTAGCAAGATGATTTGTGAAATCAAAGTGAGAAAAACAGAGACAGATAAAATATGGTCTAACTATATGAGTTTTGTGTGTGTGCATGTGTGCGTGCATGGGTGGGCGTGTGTGTGTGTGTATGTGAGAGAGAGAGAGATAATTAAACTACAATGCAAGGTAAAGAGTAGTGATTGTATCAGGTCACAAATATGCCTCAATTAATCCATCCGTCTCCTTAACACAGAGGAGGAGGAGGAATATACAGAGCACTTATGGTTAAATATTAAGAGATCACCACCTGGAGCAATCCCTACTTCACCTGTATTCTACTAGTTTTGACATAGCCACAGTGAGCATTGACCTCTTAGTGTTCAGGACTTCTGACTGCCTGGCGCAGATCTGCACCTTCCAGTATATCTCCTGAGTTTCTGTCACCTGTTATCATTTCTGTGATCCATGTCCATCCAGGAAGTGATGGAACCATCACCACCATCTGGAATGTCCATTGCACCTTGGGCTGTGCCCTCAGATGGTTATTTCTTCCCCTCTTTGTATATGGGATGATACCTCTCAGCTATTGCTCCCCATATCCCACTAAGCCCTGTAAAACATTCATAAGCCTTTTAAAAAATTCCCTGCACTGGGGTAGAGTAGAAGCAGTGGCTTGCTTAAGCTTTCCCCCAAACCCTTCCAAATACCTGTAAAAAATGGCTCTAAAGAAATTCTAGAGCAGCAGAACCCACAAAAAGACAGAGTGAAACAAATTTCCAGCCCAAGGCAACCTGGGTGGTTGATTAGAAAGGTCTATCATGCTGGGCTGGTGAGAAATGTAGTTCAGTCTGGGCACACAGGCAAAACAGGCTTCAACAAACCTGGAGCAGGCCTCAGGGGACTGAATCATGAGCAGCTGTGGCAGTTTCCAGACTTTTCAACCCACAAATGCCAAAGACAACTTAGAAGGTCAGTAGGAAAAGTCTGTGACCACAGTAAGAGAGAAGCTTGGTCCTAGCCCCAGTCCCAGAAGGGCAGCGGCTGCTTCCAGAGCTTCCAGCCCACAGACTGAGGGGGAATCAAGTGGCTGATCAGAGGGAGATTTCAGGATCTCTTTGCCAGTGCTGAGGCAGGAATCTCTTGCTTGGCCTGTGCTTGGATCTGGGTCACAGTTCTGGGTGGTGGTGCCGGGGTGAGGAGCGCTGCTGGCATGGTGGAGCTTGTAGTGGTGGTGAAGAGAGAATCCCTCTCACAGTTCTAAGGCAGAAAAGAGTGCTTGTGGTTACTCATAGACCAGAGCACAGGCCAGGAAAGGAGTAAACACCTCACCACTGATCATACCATCTTGGAAGAACTGAAAACTTACAGGTCCCTAGAAGTATCTCTGAAAACAGCTGCACAAACCCCCTGAAGCTTGGGACAGTACATTCTCCACACTAGAAGCAGACCCTTACCTTAACAAAGAGTTTAAAACTCAAGTAATTAGCTGGAATCATGAACAAACCTCGCAAAAAACAAAAGTCAGACCATAGAATCTTTCTTTGGTAACAAAGAAGATCAAAACATACAACCAGAAGAAGACAACAAAGTCAAAGCTCCTACATCCAAAGCCTCCAAAAAAAAATACGAATCAGTCCCAGGCCATGGAAGAGTTCAAAAAGGATTTTGATAAGAAAGTAAGAGAAGCAGAGGAAAAACTGGGAAGAGAAATGAGAGTTATGCAAGAAAATCATGAAAAACTAGTCAACAGCTTGCTAAAAGAGACCCAAAAAATACTGAAGAAAATAACACTTTAAAAAATAGTCTAACCCAAATGGCAAAAAAGGTCCAAAAAGCCAATGAAGAGAAGAATGCCTCCCCAAAGGAAAACTCCTAGGAATATTGTAGCCAAATTTCAGAGTTCCCAGGTCAAGGAGAAAATATTGCAAGTATTGTGAAAACCAATCAGGATAACACAGGAGTTAGCCGCTTCTACATTAAGAGACCACAGGGCTTGGAATATGATATTCCAGAGGGTAAAGGAGATAGGATTACCAGCAAAACTGGAATCTACCACCTTCCTACTCTCTTCTTAAAGGAAATATTCATTATACATACATATGTGTATAAGTGTGTATGTTTGTATATGCGTATATTTCTGTGGCTTCTGTGTAGTCTACAATCTCTTAACTTCTTTTGTTTCTTAATCGTGGACTATATTTTTCAACATAGTTTTTGCTTTCTCTATGCCCGTCTTTGCATTAAAATCACCAAGCGTATGTGTTGACTTAATTTGGAGCCTTGGCTAGAATTTCTCTACCTTCTTGTCTTCTTCAACAAATGTTTGTGAATAAGTCGCAATTATGCACTTTTCAGCCCCAACATCCCAGCTGAGCTAACGGTGGATAGAAATGGTTAAGCTTCTGATTTCTCACCTTTATGTTAGCTGTTTGTGTGCATAGCTAAACTTTGTGTTAGCTGGCTCTTTTCTAGACATTTGAAAATTTGCCTACAGATACAGATGCAAAAACACACTACAACGAGAATTGTGTAATTAGTCCTGTATTACTCTATATTCTCAAACCTAGAGAGCTTGCGTTCAAGGGCACAAATATAGTAATGAGTAATAAAGTAATGGGTAAAGAAAAGCTTCCCTAGTTACTGCATTTTCCTTCCAATTTCTGGTTATCAGATCTCCCACAAAAGAACCTCCTTCTCTCGCATTCCAGGCCTGTGTTTTAATCATTTTTCAGTTGTGCCTCACTCTTCCTGCCTCTATTTGGGATTTTCTTTGCAAAGATACTGGAGTATCTTGCATTTCCTTCTCTGGCTCCTTTTACAGATGAGGAAACTGAGGCAAACAGGGTTAAGTAACTTGCCCAGGGTCACACAGCTAGTAAGTGTCTGAGGCCAGATTTGAACTCAGGTCTTCCTGACTTTAGTCCTGGCACTCCAACCATCCCAGGCCTACCAGGCCTTTTTAAAATCAATGGTGAAAAGTATAATGCTGTAGCTTTCTCTTGTCTCTTTCATATTAAATTTTATAGTAACTTGATGAGATCATCACTTTTATCAAATGACGGGACCAGTCAGAGGCTTAGCGGCGTGGTTGAAGATGAACAAGAGACAAGTGAAATTGTATTTCTTGTTCCCTTTGGGTATATGAAGAAAAGGTAGAAAGGAATCAGATTACCAAGGACTTTGAAAGCCAGTCCTGGAAAATATATAGAGGAGGGGAACTACACCCTGAACTGAACCAATTCAACCTATACTGTATATTTGCTGAATAGCTTCTCTGTGTGATCACTGAGTAAACTTCCCTTTGTTAAATGGTACATATCATCTATACGTGTCCCATTTCATTCCAATTCAAAGCCTTATTTACTTGACCAGCCTTAGTCAGTCTTGGCTAGAACATTTATCATACCCACGGACTACATAATATCATAGACTTACTTTTAAAAAGAAGTAACATATTCTTAAGTTTTTGTTAGGCATTTATGACGTGACAGATGATGTACTATAGTGGATAGCTAGCTGGTCACAAACAAGTAAGACCCAGGTTCAAGGCCCACCTCTAACACATACCCAGCTGTGTGACCCTGAACAAGTACCTTTAACTTCTAGGCGATTCTCTAAGATAATGACTGGTATAAAAAGTGCAAGCCTACCCTGATAGAGGGAGCTGCCCATGCAAATGAAATCCCTGTCCTTTTGTATTGCCACCACTCCATATGACCACTCAATTAGAATCATCTTCTAATTTGAGGTTCTAGCTCTGGGCTTGCATAGACTTGGATCAATCTTGGGGTGGAAGACTGATCACAAAGATCCCAAAGGGGTCTCTGCTTCTACTCCAAAGTAAAATTCCAGGAAATTTTCTAAAACTAAACTAAACTAAAACTAAAAATGTTCTAAAATTTTAAGTATGGTTTTTATCTACAGTCTCCCCAAAATACAAGTAACGGGGTCCCTTCTAGAAAAGGTACTCAATGGACAAGGTAACTATCAAGCATACAGCAGTGGTTTATTTCTTCTACCAAAGATACTGGCTAAGAAACAAAAGACTCGCAGTCATACATTGAGAAACCTAAGGAAGACAAAGATGACTCTGTGTGACTGAAGCACTCCTCACACGTGTCCTCATACCTCCTCAGGCCCAGCTAGGCAGAGTCTGGTTTTCTTCAGCCCTTCAGGTATATGATGATGGCCATGGTG